GACATTTGCCCTCAATAAAATCCCAATTTGAATTTAATCCACTCAGATGGAATTAGTTTGATTCGAGTTTAGTTGACTATCCACGCTAACTGGATGCTCGGTTTGACTGTGTGATTTTGAAGTTGGACAACAAAAAAACTTTACGTAGCTACAACTTGATACGGCAATCCAAAGAAGTGATCCGTGTTGAAAATTTGAGTTTTTTCACAGCCGAAAGCTATCATCTATCTGGTATATAAAGGCGTGNTTGAGAGAACGGTCAAGTCGTGTGTCCAAGGATGCGCGCGGTAAATTGCGCGGCAAAGTTCGTGGCGATCCAAACGACTCTACCGACTATTACTGTGGCGCAAACTTGAAGTAGAATAGTTGGGTATGGTCAGCTGATCCTACTAATCTACTCTATTTTAGGCTCATCCCCTAATAACAAACGCCTCAGTCGTCTAAAATTGGCATGAACTTCGCCACACAATTTTCCGCGCGCGTCCTAGGACGTACGACTTGACACATACCCTTTCATTTGTCACTATTTCCTTTTTGGTAAGCATAGGTCCACGCCAATCGTTATTTTTTTCTGAAGGGTTACTAAATGGAAGTTTCAGATGCTTCTAAGCAGATCTGGGCATGCATGTAAGTCATATACAATAATCTAGTTGTCTCCTTAGTGTGACACTATCAACAAACTCTCAAATTCCAGCCAACTGTCCAGACAATAACGGAATGTCTGATGAAATAAGGCAGGCTTAAAAATAGTATTTTAAGGTGGTCTGGCAATGGAGCAACAAGATCGGACGCGCAGTAGAGTGGTATAGTGATATGACCCTCGCAGCATGCGAGTATGATTCAGCGTAGGTGCATTTTTTTGAAGAAGAAGAAAAATATGTCTTACTACAGTTGACAGGGAAATTTCAGAGGAAACTATCGTGGTCGCCTTATTTACGAGATTTACGACTTATTTTTTCTTGGTAACCCGTGCGCAAAGAATGAGGACTGCGAATGCAACAAATGTGTTTGTAGCAGTGAAGAGGCCCTATGCATTGCTCCATAGTAACCAGTTGCAATAAACTGTCATAAATGTTTGAATTTACACTCGATTTNTTTTTGTTCCAGTTGTTCCTTCACACTATCAATTTATTACTTCAGCACGGCAAGAGAAGGTATAAGCACTTCAAGGGGGAGGAAAACTCTTTCTCCTTATGTTATGATCTTGAGTAGGAGTCGAAACATGCATGGAGTCTCACAGTTCATTTTTTCATTTTTTTCACTTTTGTCTTCATTTTTTCACTTATGTCTGTCTGTTGGGCATTTTTCGATCTTCGATTAGAAAAGCTCAACTAGCTCATAAATTTGCTGCCTACTATGGGCTCGGAGCTAATTTTGCGTGAAGTTCTTTTAGATTTTAATCTTCATGAACCTTCATGAGTGATTGAATATAATTGTCTGAACTGGTAGAGCTGCATAGAAAATCTACAAAGACACGCTGAATAGCACGCTATTTAAAACAACCATGGTTAGACGCCCATTCTTACTGTTTGCAAAGCGTGAAAAGCATGAACTAGTGATTTGTCGCTCTCACTTCATAACTAAGTCAATTTCCACTTTTTTATTCTATGATGTCATATAAAATGGCTCAGCTCGCCTAGCTCTAGGCAGCGGTGAATTGAAATTTTGGAAATGTTCAACTCTGAAGTCCTCCACCCAACCGAATTTCTATGGGCATATCATTGGCAACGACGCTCGCTAGGATCACACATGTAATTAGGAAGCATCTTGCATTTCTTGCTCCTTTGCATTCGTGACATTACAGCCGAGTCTGATCACCGTGAACGTATGCTTTATTATCGAAGAGAGGGAACATTCAAAAATTATTATTTATTTGAATAAGTATACACTGTTCAGATGAGAAGACAGTCAGCTTCATGCAGGGAATCCGAAATGACTGTCGTGTATAGTAATGAAGCATTGTCCCGTTTTTTCTGAGTTTCTTCACGGCAGAGAACATATTTAGTTAGACCACTGGGTATAGTCGTCCGTGAGCTTCAAGTGCCATTTTCGACTGTCGCCATATATTTGGGAAATTTTGGGAAGGTAAAAGAGATGGAACACTGGTAGTTTACGAATTGAGATGCACTCTAATTGTAAGCAGGATGAGGCGAATATCGGACGATCTACAAATTTCATCAGTTCTTTTCCGAAGCTTCGATTGTTTATCGAAAACCAGCCACTAATAGCTCACACAGAGTGCCATATCTCTACTGCTGAAAATCTTGGTGCTTCTTTCCAGTTTTGAAATCTGTTGGTTCTCGAAGCAATTTGCTTTTAACTACTTGAAGAGTGCGGGCTAGTCATGAATAAGTTATACCTCACTATTGCCCTATAAATCTAGATCTTTTGCTCGGAAGTGCAGTTTCTGAGGTCGCACAAAGTAGTTCCCTATCTTTGGTATGCTCGAAATAGGTTGCTTCAAGTTTAAAAGGCGTCTCTGCAATGACAAATTGTTGAACCCTAATTAAAACAGGCTGTGCAAACAGTTCATCGAGTTCTATTTCTGTTGATACCACCAAGTGCATGCCAGTATTTAACCCCAGGTACGCTCTAGGGAGAGCTCGGCAATAGCGGAGGCGATGGGCCAAAACGGGTCGATGGTGTGGGGTCGACTAGCTCGCAGGTCAGTTCGGAGGCTACCTATCATAATGTATGCATAGCTCATGACGGAACACAATGATTATGACGAAGCAATTCACATTCAAGATATCCTATCAATAACGACTTCAAATGTCAGAGCACATGTCATACATCCTAACTTTTTTGCTTATGCAATCTTAACTAACTATTCAGACTTGATTTTGCATACCAACATATGTAGACTATTCGATCCACCACTTTCCGCTAGAACTGTTGGAATTTGCCACGAAATGTTTCAAAAGGAGTTGTACACTTTAAGATGAAAGGAGTTCTAGATAAGCGGCAGTATTCTGATTGTCGCTTCAAGACGTTCGACATGAGTCGACATAGAGGTTGATATCCGGACTGAAGCGGGTCACGTTTTTCGTGATCTAAGGTTTGCAAGAGCTCCGATTGTGGATGTTCGTCGTTGAGTAGCGGCTCGTAGAGTTGTTTTTGATCTATGGATCGATACTGGCTTTTATGTTAGGATCTCAGTGTTCATAAATTCTGTACTCCCGTTCTCATCGTACCGTCTTGGATTCCTTACACTGTTCCTTACAAGATTGCGTAAATGGCAATGCATGGTAAATCAAGTTTCGAATTTTGTGGAGGTTATTCAGTTCTAGCGATGTCTCAAAACGTTATGATGATAGGCGCCAGAGTCGTTCGAATCACCAGGAATTTTGCCTCGCGGTTTGCCGTGTCCGGAATTGGGTGAATGTTCCGTCTCCCGAACACCTGACTTTATCAGTAGTCCAACTTTTTGATATTCTCGCCATCTATTTCCATGTATGCCTTGGACTGTCCAGTGAGTTCCGACATGGGTTACTTGAATTCGGCTGTGGTCGATGCCTTCGAAAATCATCATTTATGAGTGATCGTGATCTTCTCTCCTACATCTTGCATTACATCGTCTATAGTGGCTTTGTCTCTTCTGCATTGAAGTAAGAACACTCTTCACAACGTTATATGGAATTTTTTCTGAAAATTTCTCAGCCTAGAGTGAGTCCTGTATGGCGCTTACGTCTTGGCCTAACGGAATCATCTGGTTAATCAGTATACTGAATCTATTATAAACTGCTGCGCAGCTCTCTGCTTAGTTATTTGTAGCTCGCATATTTATCAATTCTTGAACGGTTTTGGCTTTATTTCTTTTTTGTTCTTCGCCCATCCTTTTTTTTGAAACTGAGAAATGAGTTGTATTTCTTTATTTGCTGCCTCGCCTTTCTCTCTTGGAGAAATTTTCAGTGGAACCATTTTTGTACTGTGTTCAGCACCTCGTTCTCGTTGTTTTCAGAAATGTACCTTAGTACTTGGGAAATTCTCCCTCATCTTCGTAAAAATGAGGTAAATTATAATTAAATTATAATTAAAAAATGGTTCGTTTGAGCTTCACGGAATGACAGTCCACGTCATTCCTATCGCAGGAGTTGTCCTACGGGCCATCCGATAGCCATTGCGCAAGTTCTGGATCGACTGCGTCTTGGCTGGCACCTCCTTTTGCTTGCATCAAGTTTTATAAATTTCCTCGGTGGATCTGATGATTTTCATGCTACCTGTTACTAGGTTAATACAGTATTCTTCGCATTCAGAACTGCTCACCCCTCGTTTGATTCCATCGGTGTGTTCTTGGTATTTTGCTGCCAAGGTCCAAGTGTGCTGCTCTAGATTTGGTGGGTTTCCTAAGGAACGTAAGTGACATTTGCGTCGTTTCAGTGGAGACTGCAGGTTTCCTATTTACCGACCTCTACGGGGTTAGCCAATAGGTGGGATGTGCTGCTTTTATCTGTAATTGGAATATTTCTCGATTTGGTCAGTCCAAGTCTCGACGGAAATAGGACACTACCCGTTTAGACGAGGCACCAAATCATGTGGTTGATCCTCGACGCTCATGAGCAAACTGTCGCTAGGGCAACCTAGCTTCGACAGCACTACATCTGGGTGATCAGACTATAACAAATAGTAAATAAGAAACGGGAACGCGCGACGGAACTGGTGACTTCAAAACTGAGTCTCCCGAAAGTCACTTCACCTCTTTCTAGGGCTCAATTAGCTGTGTTGGATTGTATAACATTCTATATGGATTTCATATGGATAAGTAAAATTTGCTTATATAAACAAAAGATTGTACGATTTTACATTTTTCGTCAAATTTTTTTGAGCAATTACGGTTGGTAATGTGTAGTACACATGCACATAGTGGCACAGCCTAACAGATTTGTAGAAAAATTCGGTTGCATTACAGGTTCCTTGACGTTTAGCTAGAAATTTATTCGAGACAAGTAANNNTTTTTTCATGAAGTCCTTCAGTTACGCATACGGAGCGACGTTTCCGCTCACGCGATTGAAGCTCTTCCCATGTCGTTGATTTTCGGACGATCTCCCTTGAATGCACCGGCGATCTTCTCGAAGACGATCATCTGAAACCTATTATTCGGATTGAAGTTCTGGGTAGATCGAATAAACAAAATGGAACGAAATTATTCGAAATGGGATGAAACCCATAGCCATTTTTAGTTTATTGCAACTGGGTCGCTCCGGTTGAAAGGAGCATTAGCATTTTTAAGAATTATTCCATTGTTCTGAAGGCGCATCCGGTGCTAGACTGCGCTGCCCACGACTGGAATGGGTCTCGCGCTCGCAGTACCCGCCTACCCGCCAACGTGTCAGGACCTTTCGTGTTTGATTCGTGGTCTCGGGACGCTGTTGGAATGTTACTCTCAGAGCGGAGAATCGATGACGGTGAAAGGACAGTTGCCGCGGCATTCAATGCTAAAGGCACAGTCACGATAATTCGGGGTATTTAGTTTCAGGCGATTATTGAGAGTGATAGCGAAAAAAGGCGAAGAAAAGCGGAAATCTTCTTTCTGGAGAGATATGAGGATTGAAAAAATTGGTGCTAGCGGCTGGACGATATGACGACAGGGGTTGCATGAAATAGGTATTCGGAACTGCTATCCAAAGCTGTCCAAATTTGTGTGTGCTATTGCGTACAGCTGGCTACAGTAAGCTACCTGTGGCAAACGTTCTGGGGTGAATGGTGCAACTTTTACAGCCTCTACAACGATGTGATAGCTCATCTGCCTCAAGTGTATAAGTCCTTATTACGTCCTATCCGGGCCATTTTTTGACCCGACAGCGTCCCTTGTGCTACTCGCGGATGTCACAGATTCATCTTAGGGAGAAATTCTGGGAAATGTTTCAACCGTGAACTGTCCTTTTAAGCATAGGGGTTTGAATACAGGCATTTAAGACAGATAAGGAGTATCTCGAGTTACACAATTTTATTGATATCGAGCAGATGAAATTACTTGTCACTCAACAATTTAGAATCTGATGCCGTTTCTTGCCATGATGTTTTGACTGCGGCAACAGATTAAAAGATGGTGACAGTTGACAGTGTCGAGTTTTCAGCAGCTTTTCCAATTTTCCCTTTTAAATATAATACGTTCTATCCATCCAATTTACAATAAAAAAGGTTCTAGCCGAGATGTAAAAAAAATTACGTCAGAAGTAACAACTTGGGTAGAGGAATCATGAAGAAATCTTTGAGACCGATGACGACTTCTCCCTGTACATGTAAGTGTTCATGGAGGGCAACAACGAAAAAAAAAGTAGCAAGAGAAAAGGCAACTAACCATGGATTGCGGAGTGCTATGTGCGGACCGCCTACAACTTTCTTAAGCATAGTCCCAGCTACCGTTCTCAAGAAAAACGAGAGTTTGAAGGACATTATCACTTCGTGAACAAGCCGTGAAGAGATGGTGGTCAAAGCTCAAGTCAGCGCATATATACCCCTAACAATTCTGGTATCAGTAAACTGACAATGGAGGGATAAAAGGCGTGGTTGGCGTGGGCGAACGTCGATTCTGCATTCCAACAGCTAACTGATAGTGCTTCACTTGCCATCGCATGCGCACAGATTACAAATTATCATTTTTAAAAATCAATCGCGATACTAAGAATGTGGACTTGGGTTTCCCAGATTCGTGGGAAAATCTGCTCACTCATTGAGATCTAGCGCCAATAGCGGCTATCTTTCCCATGTCTAGCATTGCTTTGATGAATACTAGCTGCCAGTGCTTGGCTTCCGCTTTTTCACTGTTTCTTGGTTTTTTCGAATTCTCTTAAATATTTGTCTACAGTCAAAGATAAGAGAAAAAAGTACTGTAATGAGCAAAGAAAGTTTCGAGTTTTGAGGGCTCAACTTTCGATGCAAGTATCAGTTAAAAGAAACCTACGTCATCATCATCGCTGTCGGGATCTTTACGTGGTTTCGAAACATTCATCTTGCTCCTAGAAATAATGCATTGTGAATATGAATTAAGAGCAAGGCAACAAAAAAATAAGGTCAAACTGAACGCAAAGAAAACCAAAATGGCACTAAAGCGGACAGAAAAGCCAATGTGTCGTATGCACATAACTGTTTTTTAGCATTTTCGCTAGATATCCAATATCCAGATAACTAAACAGCAGTTCTAGCCAATAAAGCTCTTCGAATGCTCTTTCGGTCCATGCGGGAGCAGCTCTACCAGCAGATCATCAATTAGTGTCTTTGATTCATCACTTCACAGCCTTCGTATGCGTCGGACATGAGATGACAGGTGCCTTTGATGTTGTCATCTACCCAGAAATGGAACAATACGGATTCCGTATAACTTTTGTAGCCGCAAGTTAGACAAGCGATGGTTCCCTCGAAAATTTGATGGAGGATTTTGCATGATGCATGAGTGCAGGACCGCAGTGTCCAGGGATCGTGCCACCGCCTACGACTCGAACTGACTAGGAGATGGGAGGAAAGCGATCCCCCGATTGAGTTTTCAATGCAGTGTGCAACCGTTGAGGGATATGACACGATGGCCAGCGGCCTACAATCTCGTCACTGACAATCCTGCCAAAAATCTTCGCTTTTGTAGGCTGAGATCGAGTTCCGAAAAGATGACCAGTAATTGTGCTACCAACCTACACAAGTAAAGAAGTTTTGATTAAAGTCTCTCGCTCTCAGTTTTTTAGAAGAGATCAGTAAGGCACCCCCGTCGAATCCCGTTTTTCGGGAATGGAACGTTGGTCCAACAACGAATAACTGAAGAGAACATCAAGGTAAAAGATTACATCAACACTAACAACATTTGATTAAAGAAAGTTCCAGGTGTCATAAATGTTCAATACCCAAGATTTGAAAATTAAATGTGTGGTTCTGCTGACTAAATGTCTTAGAGATCCTACATTTTTTCCGACCCTTCTAATGTAGGAATTGCTGCTCCTTTTCGCAAGTCTTCACCCCTATAATTTGGTATGGAGAAGCGGGAGATAAAAACTCATCTCTTAGGTCTCCAAATGTATTTCACGGCTGTGACGATTAAGGGTGAAGACAGCAGAGAATAAAACTCGAAAAATGGCTGCTTTCATACATAGTCCGCTGGCCGGCCGGCCGGCCGGCGTGCAGGCGGAGGCAGTGCGAGGGGGGAGGAGAGAGGCAGACAGGCAAACAGTGTTTTCAGCGGAACAGTCCACGCCCCTTCAAAAGTTGTTTGTTTTCAGCCCTTCAAGGGGCTGAAAACAAACAACCTTCGAAGGGGCGTGGACTGTTTGCCTTACACTGTCTGCCTCCCTCCTCCCCCCTAGCACTGCCTCTGCCGGCACGCCGGCCGGCCGGCCGTCCGATGGACTATGAAAGCAGCCATTGGAAAGTGTGCCACTGCAAAAAAACATAAGAGCCACACAAAAATATTATTGTACATGAAAGTGGGAAAGATGTCTCTTAGAAAACACAATTCCAAGAAGGCCCAACATAAACCATTCAAACTTCAGATTCGAGCTAGTTTTCTCTTACCGTAAGGGCGACGGTTTTCTCTGAACGTGCAAGTGTTCGCCTTTGACAAATTCAACTTTTTGCTTCCTTGCAACCGTTTTGTAATAATCTTATGTAGCATCAAAAAAAAACTGTATGCATGAACTCATTTTTAACTCACCCTAATTTCGCTCCGATTTCCTGTGAAAGTGTCCTTGCGTGAAAAATTTGAGTATGTTTGAGTAGAACCAGCAGGAAGTAGCACGAAAACGACTGAAACGAGAGGACACATTTAGTGTGTTTCCTATTCTCCCCGTTCTATTAAATAACCACTTACACAGCCACACATGTTGGCGTGTATGATGTGAATGCATGTGTCTGTACATGTATGTGGATGAAAAATGTCAAATGGATTCTTTCCCCTCAACGCAGGCCCGCCCAGACCGAGGATCTGACCCAATCCTTTTACGATTTCGAACCTGCTTCTGTTCAGCATTTTGAAACCTTTCAAAACAGAAGTATGAGTTTTTGGTCCTAGCTCGCCCACCTCGGTGCGAGCTGCGCCTACTCTTGTTATTTGACCACATCCCTTGAAAATCTTACCACTTTCTCACACATTTTAGAAATGTTTCGAGCAAAGTTGTGTGTTTTTGGTCCTAGCCCTGTCCACCTCGGTGTAGTGGATAGCCAGCTCATGGTGGACTTTACCTATTCTTTCTACTTTTTTCTGGCCTTCAGGTCTTCGTTGAGTTGAGTTATGAACATGTGTATGAAGCGCAGCCCGTTGTGATGGCGGTTCGCCCACCGCGGGTGGGTTATTTCCTACTATCTGTTTACCCTTCACTCACTTTCCTCAATTTTTCCGGCGTGTGGGTGGTTATTAAACGAAATTTAAAAGTTCAACACATAGCACCGCTCACTCCTGTGCATGTCCCTCTCCCGGGGACGCAGCTTCGCTAAGCTTCAATGTGGTCTGTTGATCTCGCCTCATGCCCAACCAATCCCGAACTCCACCAGAACTTTGTTGGTGCTTCTTAAGATAACACCAAGTTCCGTAAGAAAAAACAATCAGACAGCCAGATGTGAGTGCGTTATATATAGTAAGGACTAGGTGGACTCGATTCGAAATATAAATCTAAAATCAATCACACTCTTGACATGATAACAGTGATGTGCTATGTCCCTGGTGACGTAGGTTTGTGTTTGGAGCCAAAAACCTCGAAAGAAACGTTTGCGATGTTGCTGAATCACTTCTAGAATAGCAAGAAGCTGAAGAGTCAGCCGCTGCCTTCACTCGTTGGAGCATAGAATAGGGTAAAAGAGAACTTACTCCTCTCCGCCTGATGAGCGCATCACACGGTGAATTCCATTGATCTAGAGGAAAACGTTTATATCTTTATGCAACGCTTATTAACGATAACTTACTTGTTCTATTTGTCAGTGTCTTTTCACAGAATATGTTAGCGTAGGCGTCGATAATTATGAAAAGGACCGACAGCATGTAGATCAAAGTCTGAAACATTCACCGCTGATGCTGTATAACAATTTCTTAGAGAGTGTATACCCGCTAAATTAACAAAAAGATATTTCATAGCAAGAAATTCAGCCATGGAGCGCCCATATCTCAGTCAGATAAGTTCTTCGCTTCAAAAACGTACCCACACAATGTAAGCAGGCACGAACAGTATTGTCCTATCGGTCCATATTCCGACAGTTATCAGCACAAGAGACAAGCACCATGCTATGAGACATACAGTCCAGAGAGGCATTTCGGTTATTCCTGGTCATAACAACAATTAGGTTTGAAGTTCCCTCTTAGTTATTGTTTGATATTGTTAACTGTGACAGGAATTCCTCTTTGCGGATGCTAGAGCACTTGCGTTTTTTATGATTAAATATGATCTAAAGAGTACAGGAAAAGAAAATATGAACCGTCCGTTTCACGTCAATAGAGGTTATGGAACTAGAGGTTATGGAATCTCTCAACGTGAGTACTTTTGCTGTGAAATGTGCATGATAGTAATAAAAGATATCGAAAAACGCGAAACCGGAGTGATGTGAGGAATGTAGTGGTACTACTTCAATAGATTACTACATACAAGCCCATTGAAGTATTCACGCTTCCCCCCGCCTTCCACAGCCTCCGTAATACCTGGAAGTATGTGAATACCTCTAAATTTCTCTTATAACGAGACATTTAATTTTCGTGGTACCCTCCACGAGTCGAGTTTCCGAATGCGATAATCGAGGGATATTCAAACTCACAAGAACTAGCTGCTTGAATTTTTCCATTTGTGGGTAAAATTTTGTTGCGAGAGAAACGTGTGCACACAATACAAAAATCAGGAAAAGATATGAAATCGGTGGGTCCATCAGAGTTCCTGATTACTTCGAACAATCTTTAATATTTGGCATGCTCTGAACAAAGCCGGTAGTGGTAGCTTACATTTCCATGCAGGCAGCATTGCTAACTTCAGCTTAATCACCCTATTGCATTTATGATTGTCGGCGACAGGAGTGGGCTTCGGGCTGGGATAAAAGAGTAGCAGTGCTAAGAGCTAGCAAAATGAGGGTAATCTGACAAGATAAGGACATTCGGTCGCAGTGGTCATTCAAGATAGGATGTATACTCCCGCAGGCGATTTCGAACGCTAATTTCAAATCTGTGTTCCAAATCTGCCAAACAACAATCTGCGAACAATGCTACGGTAGCGATGCCTCCGTGTGCTATACCACAGTAACGAACGCATCACCAAGTCGAACAAAGACGTTGCTGTGCAACGGTGGTGCAGCTGGTAGGACGGTGGAATGAGAGGCATGAAATCAAGCTTCAGTTCCTTGATGCATGTGCTCATTTTGATTTTCCATGAAATGCGTCCTAAATGCTTGCAAAACGTTTTTGGGCTTGATATTGGGCATCTATATCATTATAATGAGTATCCGCCTATGGGTATGGTTTTCCTTACTGTGCGTTTTTTGACTTTTGCTGTTTAAGTTTGTAACTTGTTTCCTTGTTTGCTACTGAAGCGCACCTTTGTGTGTATTTTGAATAGTTATGTAAATTAATGAATGAATGAATAAATAAATCTACGGAGCTCCGCCACAATTTAGGATTTCAAGGAGCAGTAAATCGATGAAAAAAATTTTTACCACTACTGAATGGATATACATGCACGCCTCCCTACTCCGAACAGTGAAGATGGTGTTTTGAAAACTTTGGCAGCTCCGTGCACCACTTACGATAGACGGCGGCCGAATAACTCATCCTACCACAACCTTCTTTGCGAGGGATACCTTCCACACAATCTAGGAATACTGTCCGCGCTTTCGAAACGGTGGTATAAGTTAACTGGCATTGTTGAAGAAATGCTGCAGAAAAATAGTTGATCATTTGTGTGCATATATGATTATCCGCTAATTCTATTCTTGAGCTAAACGCCCTTTCAAGAGGATCCAAGAGGTTTCAAGAGGTAAATGTAGTGGTGCGGTGAAGCATGATACCACGGCTGTAGTCAAAACTCTGAATCCAATAACGACTTGCTTTGATGTTGTTGAAGCGGTATCCAGTGGAAATGACTGTCGTGTAATGGAACTCCTATATAACTTTTTTTTAGAAAAATACCCTTCCAACCTATTCGCTAATCTCCATAAGTGGGCAGATCGGTCCGCTTGTTTTGCAGCTCTAGTTTTGCAGCTGACCACATAAGTAATCGTAACTTGTCAATGATAGACTAATTCGAAAGCACATGCTCGCTTAATTTCCGTAGACGGCACGTCGTGATGATAAAAAACGTGTTTCTCATGTTCGAGGGGGTGCGGCTTTTCGAAACCAGGGCTAAAGGAAGCTATGGACTTTTCTACCAGCGCCATGAAGCTCATTGGAGCTCATGGGCCAGAGTACAAACATGAAGGCTACGTTCCACCTCGGAACCTCTACACCCTTTAAAGGTACGGGGTTGCTTACGCGAAGTTATGGGTCCATCGTCGCTGTCATCATCAGGTGACCGCAAAGGATCATTGTGATCGTTTTCACAGACTAGACTTCCTCACAAACACTTTTGATTCGAGCGAGAAACCAAGATCTGGGAGACCAGCTGTGCTGAATGACGACGTTCTCATGCAACTGGTTGAGGGGGATTCCAGACGTGGTACCAACGAATGGGCACAGAAACTAGATAGGCGTATGAATACCTCCTTAGCTGTTGTTCACCAGCCCCAGATGAGGAGAGATTCGTGCCTAAATTTGTGGAACACCAGAATTCTAACCTAAAAAGACCTTGTCCAGCGTGTGCTGCAAGTCTGGGAGTTGCTGTTATCAAACTCCACCACCAGGGTCAAAGTCTGATGCCCTCAGCTGGATCGCGTTGCTGCAGCTTTAAGAGAGGAACGGAGGGAAGTCGACACCACGTTGCAAAGGAGACCCAGAAGAAACCTGAAAGCTCGACGTGGCATGTTCTGACCCTTTCATCGTATTCACCAGATTACCATCTGTTCCTATCACCATCACTCGAGAAAAAAAGAAGTTCGATTATGTGAACCAACTCGAACGTGCATCGACGAGTTTTTCCTCACCAAACCTCATGAATTCTATGGAGGCGCGACCTACAGGCTGTCCAATATATGGGAACACGTTGTCAATAATGGTGGTGCATATATTTGTTAATTATTAGTTTCTATGAAGGGGAAAATCCATTTCCAAAAAGTTGCAAATTATGCAAGGACTTTTCCGACAACCATATATAAGTGAATAATGAACGAAGTTGTTTTTATCTTCTATGGAACCAGTTACCGAGATGTTAAATTGGTTCTTACCAACTTACGTTTCGGCGTTAAAATAAAGTTAATTCAAAGCCATGTCAAAGTTCATTGAGAGTCGAACATGGATTAACGAAGTTACTTTGCTACTCATTGTGTGATATTTCATATCCCTACTATTTTCATAGTGAATTCGCGATCGGGCAGATTAATGGACCAGGAAGAAGTTTTGCCCCAAGTGATTCCAGCAAGTAAAGTCGAGTGAATTTTTAAAGGCCTCAGTTTTACACGCGTGTGACTGTAGATAGTGCTTGTGGGCTTCAGACTTTGCGACAAATCTTGCGAAATAAAATCCCATGATATTTGCTGCATCGACTGCGTACCGGCATCATTAGCAGTTTTCAAGTGATATGTTGTATAGAACTTGCCCTTCAATAGGTAGGAACTATATATTTCGAGCAATCGATTTTCTGTACAGGCCGGAATGTAGAAAGGAGGAAGTGGCGCACATTTATGATTTATGGAACTTTCATAGATCTGTTCAGCTAGTGTCTCTATTAATATACCTAAACCTCCTTGGAAGCTTATAATGAATGTGATGGCGACATCATACCTGTACCTCCTTGAGAACTTATGACGAATATGACGGCGACATCAATGCAAATTAGCAGAGTTGCGGTGATCTGGAATCATTTAGAAATCAGACAGTATGAAGGAATGCTACTTCCTATTCGTGCTGCTTGCTATTATCGAAGTGCAACGGAGTTCAAAGGATTCGATTATTTCTGAACGACATAATATTTGTTCAGCACCGTGCCCTGCTCACTGGTAACGCTATTTTTTCCAAAAAGCTTTAATTGACTGATACAGCGCAAGTTCTATCGATTCTGGAATTCAAGCGAGCATAAGTTCGAAACATGAAGATGTGCCACATATTTCTACGCAGCTATATCCACAATAACGCGGAAAGAGGGTAGTCTGAATCTCCTCCATTGAAGGTTCCTTTTCATTGAAGAGTCACTAGACGGTTGGTGAAAAGGCTACGTGATGCGACTTCAGGTGTTGTAGTGAAATAAATCGCGGGCGAAATGCCACCAGTACTCAGTACCAGAGATGCAAGTGGATTTAGGGAATGGTTACGGCTCAATCTCCACTTTACAGTCTTCCTGTCCTCGCACCAACATCAAGAGAAAACGTTTTACGTCATAGTTTCCTGGCTGAAAGGAACGCTCGGCACGGGGAGCATTTAAGAACATCGTGAGAGTAGTGAAGAGGAAAAAGAACAAACGACCAACCTGCTATTCGATTCCTTGATGGAAGCAACACCATCCCCGATTTTTGTTGTTGGCGATGCTTGGAAATCCGGGCTCCTATCTGATTTTGCAGAATTTTGGAGAATTTTGAGAATAGCGCTTTCCAGATAGCGATGAAAGATCTTGACTGCATATGCATCCTGCTTCAGAGGAGCCCCAAACTCTCAGGCGTATGTCAAAGCACGAAAGAGCGCAATGTCAAAAACGTGTAGCCGGGTTACTTTGTAATCTTCACTACTCTCTTGATGTTCTCAGATGCTCTCCACGCCGCGCGTATCATTTTGCTAAGCTCTGGATTTGGGTCGTTTTCCATGTTTACCTCTCCACCTAGATACACGTAGCTGAAGCGTTCAAAGATGTTCGTGCCATTGAGCTCAGAAGAGCATCAGAAACCAATCCTTTTCTCATTGGTACCGCCTTCGTTAACGCAAATTGCAAGCGCATCCTTCCACAAAGCTGTCAAATTCAGCCAGCATCCGTTCCGCCTGCTCGATGACTATTTTATAAGCACGAATTACATCTGTCAAGCGGAGGTAATGCAAAGTGGTCGTCAGCTTTCATTCCTAGCCGCTCCGTTCTCAACCTCGTTTGCTTGGAAACTCGATGACTATGACTTTAGGAAGGTCTGTCTTACAGAGCCGATTTTTTTTTGCCAGCAAATCCAGACCACTTTTGCAGCTCTAAGAATAGATCTCCTTGGAAGCGCGAGGTTAATTACGAATTCCTTGCCTTACTACTGTAAATTAGCCTCTGAACCTTCTTTTTAGCGAAGAAGACACTACATATTGGAAGATCGTAGACTGTAGGGATGTCAGGGAACCTTATTCCTTCCTCATTTTTGATCACTTTCAAGTGAACGAGCAGGGCTAGGATATCGCAGCCTTCACAGTCGGACTTCGTGAAAACTTCTTGTGAAGTACACTTTGGAATTGCTTTTTGGCTCGTAGGGCTCGTAGGGCTTCACTGTTGGTGAGAGCGTGAGAGCGAAGGTTTGTTTGCTTCTTCAGTCGAATGAAAACTTCCAAAAATGCTATGCAGTAGCGCTGGTTTTGCGGTAGCAGACTTGGTTTAAACAAAGTTAGTGACGTCTGCAGTTATTTGCACCTTATTTACGTTACTCTTCTCTAGTGTGTTCGGTATTAGCGCTCGTATGCTTTGGAGATGGCAAAAAGAAAAGAATTCCTAGTGATACCAGTGTCCCTATTCAGAGTTGATTTTGAGTTAAAGCCCTTTGGTATATCTGAAACCCGATCAGATTGCTGGTTAATAGTGGTAAATATTCATAATAGACCCATGCTACACATATTGAAATTTCGCATGACTCGATCCACTAGGAAAGGGGTTACGACTAAAAAGTGAAGATGAGGAAACACTTCGCCGAATACTCTAGAGCGCCACCGCAATTGCTTTATTCGGGATGACCTTAGGTCGTTAGCTGACGAGTCTAATTCTCGCATCATATATAACTGAACAAAATAAAGAAAACTTGCTTTGGAACTGAAGATGTGATCGTTTTCCGAAGTTGGCTGTGTCACACTCACAGATGGTTTCATCCCGGTTGGCACCCTGTCAGATCTGCAACTTTGAGCTCTGAAACAATTCTATGTCGTTAATAACTTTATCAGATTCGGTTCTAGCCGAACAGTATCAGCAGCACTTTTTCGTCAATTCCAACCCACATTCGGTGCCCCTGAAGCAAAGGTGACGCCAGAAGGTGATAAGATGATGAAGTTGCTGATGTGAGATACGAATATTATCACGAAAAAGTACAGGGTGATTTGACAGATCAAATGGAATGATCGTTATTATTTTCGTATTCCACAGATTTTGAGTGAACTCGAGCTACCGTCCAGGCCGTTCAACGACCANCCATGAGAAGTGTCATATCTAATAGTGCGTATCGTTTGAGGGCTCTGCGGAAGCGTAGTCACTATCTGGCTTCCTGCACTATGCTCTGTGATGGGGTATAGTGCACTGGTGACATTGAAAATTGACAAAGACAAATTCACAAAGACACTTTACGATGATCGAACGTCGAAAGCCATGATCACTTCTCAAAAACACACTTCGCGATGGAAAAGTTCGTTAAGATTTCTCTTCAAGACGAATTTTTGACTCCCGAAGATTCACAAGGGACGTTCTGAGGTAAAAGCGGTCTAGGTAGAGCCGTAATGGTGCAGCCGGTAATGCAATGGCGCAGCCGTAATAAGGATCCCTACACGGGCTAGCCGACGTACACGCCAGAAGCGGACGAGTTGGTACTACGCTTTTGGTAGGTGACCAATGTACTGTACTCTACACTTGCAACCGTTTATTACAACGTGTAAAGTGGCCTACGTAATAGATACATAAATCTGCTAGCTTATATACATATGAATGTGCGTGGTGCCCAGATATGTACCGTATCGTTAATAGACTGCCCAAGTACAGTGAGCCAACGAGATAAAAGAGTGCACCATGCCAACAGCAGTTCTTAGGTTATCTAGTTGCTTGCACACTTAAGATACCGGATGTTATGCCTTCGGTATCGCCTCAAGAGATGCTTATCAAAAGCATTACCTAGGATGATTAGCGAGACTACTTGTGGGGTAACGGAACTTCTCCCCGATTGCGGCATTTTCCCTTGCTGTATACGGCAAATGTCACTGAAATTACCGTACTCACCCCGCCTCCCGCCAATCGATAGGACGCGATATCTTTCGTTGATCGGCTTGCTTTTTCATTGGATTTCATCGTTTTTTCTTCTGTTTCTTTTTAGTTTTCATGTTTATTAGACTTGATTAATTAAAATGACTCCTCCTATATAAACGACGATCAAGACCGCATTGGAATTGAAAAGAGCGGCCAGCCAACTCAAATAATTAAAAGACTCCCTACCTCACAAAGTGCGCAATCTCCCATCGCAATCCTGCGATAGGCGGCGGGTGCGGCGTGTGCGACGCCGTGTTAGAGGAGAAGTTCCCGGACCCCTACTTGTGTACCCACAACAGTGCTGTAGTGGCTATAGAGGTTGCATCATTTGCACCGGGAAGCACACGCCGTAAACTTTGTCGCCACATTCTCGTCCGGGCCCTAATTTTACCAGTTTATTGTAGAATTATATTACCTACATAAGTATGACGACTTTCGCGTTTTCTTCGCCCCCTTTGCACCAAGACTATCACTTACCCTATTTCGAAACTAATTAGGTTCAGTCTTAGCTCTCCGGACTAAAGTACAAAAAAAGCCCTCTTCTATTCCATTGATTCTTGATCTGAAATTCTGTTAAGAGAAACTGTGTGGGTGGGAGATTAGAATACTGTGGAAACCGTAGTTGTCTGTGATAAGCTATTTCATTTGTGACGCCTGGAATTAGGTCTCTAATAGCAACGCCTCATTTTCAACTCATAGTTTATCTATTGCCTACGTTCGAAGAAATATGATTAGAGCGTGGTTAGGGCGGTATTGCACTATTGGTTTATCATGGCTTGTCGCCCTCTCAGTGTCACGAATTTTAACACAAACTCCGGTACTATTCTACTATTACACCCCAAAAACTCAAAATTTTAATTTTCGATGAAACTTCGCCTATAGGGGTAATCCGATGCCCTGATAACGAATATGACCTTCACTTTTGGCACTGGCGCCATTTCGCGCTAATTGGCGCCGATTTCGCGCCAAGGGTGTTTTCACCAAATTTGCTGAAAACTTGCGTTTAGTGGCTATTTGAGGTCCCGATAACGAATATGAATCCATTTCTGTGTCCTCAAACAACGAATAAAACTTTTATTGAGCCACGCCATATGGCT